CCCCCCCCCCCCCCCCAATTATCGATATTCCGGCGCCTCTGGCTATATTATACGCATTTTACAACATTTCGCCACGAAACTTCGGAATATTACTAATTTTGTGATGCTCTTTCAAGCTGTGATGAAATTTTTGTCTAGATCAAAATTTCACTCAAAAGGGGAAAGGTCTATTTTCCCTAACTTCGAACAGTTGACCTGAAAATACGATTTGAAGTTTAGCGTTTGCGGTCTGCCATAAACTTTAAACTTTAATCATAATAGACGTGCACAATGAATCGTAGATGTAGTTTTATTAAATTTTCAGTGAAGAAAGCCAGAAAAATGCATGACTGAGAAAAAATACGTCAGTTATTCGGCCTATAGCTATACGTTCGAGAAAAAATACTTCAGTCATTCGGCCTATAGCTATACGTTCAAACGCTGCGATTTGTCGTGTACGACTAGTACTCTGGCGTATGAAATTTACTGCTGATGCCACAATTGGTCTTCATTCAGATTATGGCAAAATTTGAAATGCAACCACTTTACGCGTGCCTATTCGATTACATACGCTAGAATACGAATCGTACACGACAAAGTCGCAGCGTAATGAGAAACCAAGAAGTGAAGACCGGCCATTGACGTCCAATTGCTCTGAAGGTAGTAAGCAGCTTATTCAGTTGTTTACAACGAATTTGTTTGCGTACGACTCCTATAATTCGTCCGGTCTCGTGTGAATGTGGTCTAAAAGTTCTTTTCGATGAGTTGCAAATGCTGGCGACGATCTGTTAGTTCTTCATGCAAAGGCAGGAAAGCGGGCTTTATATGAAGATACACAATACATCTTATACTCATTACTGTTCAAATTAATTTAACAATCCCCTTGCGTTTTCTCATGAATCATTGACACGTTTTGAGAACTATCATGGTATATATATGATCATTCCATTACTGTTCTTCTAGCATTACTATTAATGAGGAAGGCGGATGTTTTTATGTCCCCGTAACAAGTGCCGTCCTCTTATTTCCACCAAATTCTGTTGAGGAGGAAGTAACTCTGACGTTTAGCCGAGTGAGGCATAAAGATTGTGAAGTAAAACCCAGAGACGGGGAAGTATTCGTAAGCCAGATCCTTAAAATAGAGCCAGAAGGCGTGAAGTTTAAGAAACCTGTAACAGTTCTTCTATCCCACTCGCTCTACGAGGACCAGGATTTTGTGCATTATTATGAGTTGATCGTTGAAAATTTAACCACGTCTGGTTGTCAGGAGTTAAAGACGGAACACGTACGCTCCATTGAAGGTACTGGTAATTTTAAAGACTGTCGTAGTAGAAAAAAGAACAATTGGCAAAACATTCAATGAGTTGCTAGTTAAGTTTCGCGTTAAATACCGGGTTGTTTGAGAAGATATATAATACAAAAGAGCCCCCGTCCCCCCTTTCTGATAATCACCCGCTTTTTAGAAAGAAACATTAAACCCCTTCCCCCATCCCCCTTCCCAACAAAAACTCCAATGTGTATAATGATTTTTCAAAATCAATCCCCCTCTCTACTAAACCCCTCCCTACTCTCTTAAATTATCAACCCCCGGGGGGTTAATAGATGGTTTATGGTAGTTACTTTCGTTTTTTAGATTTTCCAAAAGAAATATCTAATAAAGAGATCTTGAATAATTACTTGCCATTCGCAAGAACGTGCATACACGAAGCTTGTAGCTTAGTTGGTGCAACACGAGTCAGGTCTGAACACATTTCTGTACCAACAGACGGAAGTTATACATTTTCTAAGCAGTATGGAGTTAGTGCTCAACTGAAGATCATGTTTCCAGCTGGTGTCGCGGAGGAGATACTAAGTTTAAAAGTTCAGGTAATGTTTTCCTGGTGCACTGCTGTTGCCATGCATGTATGCATGGATAAATGTCTTCAGAATTCGGTGTTGCCTGTTGGATTTCAGTGTATAAGTTGTGATGGACAATATCAGTGGCCAATTGAAGGATCGAAACTTTCTATACTTTTCAGGTATAGTCGAACCTCTCCTTATGGACACCTTTCTAATACGGACATTTTGCTTTTTTCCTTAATCGATGTTAGTATTAGTGAAGTTCAACTGCAGAGGAGGAGATTTTTTCGTATGTTATTACGTAACACGCGCTCAAAAATATAGCTAATTGTATAAACTGGAAAATAAAGATGAAGCAAAGTAATTTTGAGAGGTATACGCCTATGGGTAGGCCAATACGATTTTAGGTTTTTAACACTTTTCATCGCAAACACTCGACATAGAATAAAATTGCCTCTTAACAAGCTAAGCTCTTAGGTTACACGTTCGATTTTCGTCTTACTCGGGCAACGCAACGGGTCAGATTTGACCGCCGTAAGAGATCTAGACTAGAAGTGGCAACACGTGCAATGATTTTCTCGTTTGGTAAGTCAATTGCAAAGCTAGAGTTTTACAAATCGAGGTTAAATTCATGATTTCTTGACACAATAAAAACATTCTTAAAATATCTCATAAAAATATCCTATTTTCATTAAATATTTCATTGTTCAACGACACGGATCGATGACGATACACGATTATAACCTGGTTCACATTGATCGGCGATGTTCTACGATCCATTGTCTGTGAGCAACGAAGAAGAAAATGCACAAAACATTTTATGCATCAATGACCACCGACAATGGGCATCGCCGATGTTTACGATCAATGTGAACCAGGCTTATGTCACTCAAAAGGACCAATTTCTATTAACCATTCTTCCTTTTAACAAAACTGACCGGTTTTGCTCGAACATTTTGAGTTGTGCAATCTTATGTGTGTTGGACGTAAACAACATATCTTGTCTACAACATTGAGAAGGTACAGATAATTCCTTCTAATATCCTTAGTTCTGGATATATCTCTATATGTTAAGTCTTTGGGCTATCTCTCTGATAATTGCATACATGCGATCAAAATGTTTTATACAACGATGTAAAACGGTAATCTATATGTAATGGATCAGCATTTAAATTTCCAACACAGTTTCTGAGATGTAATTCAAGAGATAACTTATCATGGCATTTGAACTATTACATCAGTTGGTGTTATACTGTGCGATAAGGCTATAGCGAATATTATTGGAAAGAGGGTTTCCATATCGGTTGAAATCACCAAATAAACAGCTCATGCACGCATTTCTCCACTTCGTCGTAAGTTTACAGAGCACATTTTATACTTTGGGACTGATCTTTGTCTTTGATGTGAACATTTATACTTCTAGTTTAAGGTTATTTAAGATTGATCCTGTCGTAAGTGTTCTATACCAGCAACCAATCGACAATATTTCATTTTAGCGCTGTCTTTGCCGTTACGTTGGCTTCGTGTTACTTTTGTTTTAAATACCTTGATCGCGTTAAAAAAGTTATTTTTCAGGCCAGTGACATAGCCAAAAGACTTGCGATTTTATAGAGATATCTCTGAACTGAGGATTTTAGAAAGCGTTATCTGCACTTTCTCAAAGTTGCATGTGTTATGTTGTTTACGTCCAACACGCATAAGATTGCACAACTCAAAATGATTCGAGCAAAACCGGTCTTTTGTTAAAAGGAAGACTGGTTAATAGAAATTGGTCGTTTTGAGTGATATAATCATGGGCGTACCGGAAGGAAAAAATTAGGGGGGCGGCAAGAAAATTGCCCGACTTTTCGAGATTCTGCCCGACTTTTCGGGATTCTGCCCGACTAGGACCAAAAAAATTTTTCCGGAAAAATTATTTTGGCGACCTCCCCCCCCCCCGTCGCCAAAAAAAATTTCGGTCAGTGTACCATTTTAGGGGTCAAAAAAATTTTCCGGACAAACAATTTTTCAGGAGCATAACATAAATTTTCGAAAAAAACAAAATTTGCCAAAAAATTGAATTATTTTTAGACAAAATTGACAGAATTTGACCCATTTTTTTTTATTGCAAACCAAAATTGCCCGACTGTTCATCGAATATTGCCCGACTGCCCAAAAAACTGGGGGGGCTGCCGCCCCCCCCGCCCCCCCGCCCGGTACGCCTATGGATATAATCGTGTATCGTCATCGATCCGTGTCGTTGAACAATGAAATATTTAATGAAAATTTGTGAGAAAACTGCGGGTCTATGGAGTGGGAACTTTTCGCATTTGAACTCAGCGTGCTTCAGTGAAAGTGTTAGTTCCCGTCAAAATATTTCTGATCTAAGAGCTGATGAGCTATCGAGTCAACGGGGATTGGTAGGGACTCTTATCCAGTTAAATGCACGAAATATTTTCGTGACGACTTATATATAGCGTTTGTCTTGGAGGACGCGCAGTGTTTCAATTCTACTTCAGATATTCTATTTGTAGTTATTCTGTGACTGTATTAAAGCAACTGCGTTTTATAGAAATTAACTGATTTCGCCATGTATTGAGAATCTATGTGTAAACTTGGACATCTTTTACTAGTCCACTGGTTTAGCCCAAGAGTATTTTTTGAGTACTAGTATCCCAGTCTGCTTGTCAAGTAAAGCCCGATTCTCATTGGCTGGCTGGCTGAATACAATCGGTAATTTCATATTTTCAGCAGTCATTGCCGAAAGTTAATAAATCGTTTTAACTTTTTGCCAACGATTGCCAAATGCATCAAGTTACAATTGCGTTGCCGTGCAGAACGTGATACCGACGTCGCAAATTTTTTTTTCTGTAGACAGTCGGACTCCTCATTGATAGTCG